CAGGTTGTTAATAAGTCTTCCTCCAATCCTGACGCCACGTTTTCCTTCATAGAACCCAGCTTCTTGTATTGTTTGCTCAGCATACATATTGAACAAGTATGGTGAAAGAACACAACACTGTCGCACATCTTTCCCAATTTTAAAACATTCAGTGTTCCCATGCTCTGTTCGAACAACTGCCTCTTGGTCCAGGTACAGATTTCTCTTGCCTACTATTGTAAAATAGACACTTGAAGGGGAGAGAAAGGAATAGCCTGAAATATCACCATAGAACGCTTGTAAGCCTGTCTTCAGCCTATAACTGATTGGAATACCTAAATTGGGGCTAGAACTTGCCCAATGAAAGAGGCTTCCTGTGGAGCCTTTGCATTGCATAAGACCATAGGTGGAATCCTGATCCTCATCCAGAATCTTCTGAGGTGGGAAATTTCCACTTGAAAAGACAAGCAGACCAGTCTGGAGCAGCTAGAGGAACAGAAGATACTTCTTGGAAGAAAGATCAGCAGGAAAAATAAAAAACAGTAATGGCAGTCTGATTGACTACTACAAGAACAAGCAAGTTGTTCATGGGGATCCATCAAGGCAAGCAATCAAGTCCCCTCAGGACAAACCCCCTCCCAAGACTGAAACTCAAAGGGAATACACAAGCAGGCATGTGGTCTTCCTGGTGACCACGTTGGTCTACCGATAAGGGGAAATGGGGGGAAAACAGCAATGAAGCTGTGAGCTAAGTCCAACCACGTTCAATAGACACCTGTCAACCTGGATCACGACCTGGTTGGCCAGCAGTATAGCGAGACCTGGGGACTCCTGAGCCCATGGACAGGGACATAGTCACAGAGGACTAGAGTGGAGAGTGAAGCGTCCAGCTGATATGAAGTGAGGGGAGATGCACAAGAACACCCATACATGCAGATAGTACCCATTTGACCTAGCTTCAATGGCTGGATGATCAGAACTCAACTACAGGAAGAAAGAAGAAGAAAAAAAGTATAATCTGTTACAATTTGATAAACTTGACCTATACCTAGGGATGTAGTAGGTTAAAAGAGGGAACGAATCTTTACAGTAAGGATCATCCCACCCCCTATGCACACAGGGTTGACAGGGATGGGCAACTTAGACATTGGCTACCCAAAATGGGGAGGTGGGGCGGCTACAATGGCGTGAAGTGACTGGCTTACAAGTTTTCAGAGGGTGCAGGGGAAGGTAGAATCTCCACTGAGTGGTTTCCAACCTGTCTAGACGAGACTGGTGAAAGGAGATGGGGATAAGTTCAATAGTGAATAATTGCTATCAGGACTGATTGTGAATGTTGCAAATGTAAAGGTAGACGTTTTTTAAAAGGAGGGAATGGTTGATCTTGCAGTCCAGGTGCAGAGGATGCTGGGACAATCAAGGGAGAAGAGTGGAGTGCAAGACCCTATCCAGAAAAGCAACGCTGCCAGAGATGGAGGCAGAGACAATGACGTGGAGAGATGGAGCAGCTGGGGACTCTACACTCAAGGAGGGAGAGGGGCTGTGTGCTGGTGGCCAGGGGGCTGGCATGCAGGATATACCCTTTGGTTGTCTGAATGGCTATATATTCCTGAGTGCTTTGGTGTACATCCAAAAAAACAGAGGGATTGGAAGCAAATGCTGTTGAATGATGATGCATGGAGGGGATTGTAATCATTAAAAAGAAACAAAATATGATAGGATGAGTGTAAAGCTAATGCTCTCCCATGTAAAGTATCACTCAATTCACAATACAAACTTATAAAAAAAGTCATTGATCTTGCAAAATTCTATCATGTGATCTTTGTTGCATGAAGACTACAGCCTTCAGTATACATTATACTTCAACATTAAGAAAAAAAAAAAAGTCCTCACAACTGGTAACATCATGGTAAATGGAGAAAAGATTGCCATTTTCATTTTACATGAAACTGTAATCAACATTCAAAGCAGCAGCAGTCAAGAGACCAAATGACTCAGTACAGTTGAGCGAGTCTACTGCGAAAGACCTCTGCCTTCCAGCCCCAGGGCTCACCTTTCAGTTCTATAGCAAGCAATGTTTTGCAGCTATTCATAAGATTTTCACTGACCAGGTTTTTCAGAAGTAGCTTTCCAGGTTCTCCTTTCTAGTCAGTTTTAGTTTGGAAGCGCCACTGAAGCCTGTTCACCATGGGTGACTGAACTTCGGTGCCGCACCCACACAAGCCACCACAGTCCAAGAAGCCAACAGGTAAGCCAACTGGTTTAGGGTTTTAAAAATCTGTAAATACTGAGTTAGATGGATACCATAAATTTTGATATTTTGATATCAAATATCAAATTTGATATTTTCATTTTTATTTAGTTCAAACATTTAAATATTTTCATTTGTTTGCTCCTTTGATTCATGAGCTATTCAGAAGTATGTTATTTGATATCCAAATATTAGGGGAGTTTCTAGAGATCATTCTGTTACTGATTTTTAATTAAATTCCATTATGATCAGAAAACATACTTTGTATAACTTGATTTTGTATTGTAGCTTTTTTTTTTACTGGCCCACAATTTCCATCTTCACGTGCAGATGAAAAGAACATAAAGTCTACTCTTCTTAGAGGGAGTTTATTTTAATAAATGTTGATGGCATTGTTCAAATGGACTCATATCTTTGCTGTTTTCACCCTACTTTTTTATCAATTATTAGAAGGTAGTATTGAAATCTCTGGCTAGAATTGTAGATTTCTAGTTATTTCTTCTTCCGCTTCCAGTTTTTATTTCCTGTATGAGGTATTGTTATATTTTCTTGACTGACTCCTTTGTCTTTATAAAAATACTTTCAGTACCACTGAGTTGGCTCTGCCTCATAGCAACCCTGTACAGGGTGTCCAAGGAGTGACTGATGGCTTTGAACTACCAACTTTGTGGTTAGAAGTCCAGTGCTTTTCCTGCAGCTGCACATCAGTGCTGACACAATTCCCTTAGTGTTAGCATAAGTCTTTGTCAATCCTTTTACTTTTAATCTATTTGGATCTTAATATTTAAAATGTATTTCCTGCAGGTAGCATATAGTTGGGTTATTTTGTTAACATTCTATTCTCTTTTTGAACTCCTGGTGTGGAGTGGTAGGATCACACTGGACCACGAACCACCAGGTCGGCAGCTCAAAGCCACCAGCTGCTCCTCAGAAACCCTATATCGGGTCACTATGGATTGAAACCGACTGGATGGCACTTCACAACAACATTTTCTTTTGCTTTTTCTTGAATTCACTAATCTTTTCTTATTCAATGTCTAATCTGTCATTAACCTCATCTAGTGAATTTATAAAATAACACTGGTTCTTATTCAGAGCAGCTGATGAATCTCTTCACATGCTAATGAAACCTGCATATTAATATCCTCAGGGATTATACTATATTAAAAAGATTAAGTATAAACTTACCGTGAGGGCAGGACAAACCGTCTTGGCATATGCAAACTATAGTGTGGTCAGAGTTAAGGTTGTCTGCAAAAGAAACAGAGCTGGAGTTATAACAAAATGCTTCTCTTTCGAGATGCATTTGCGATGATAACATATAGTTCTCTGAATTGAATACAGTGAGGTTGGTGAGTAACTTCTTCATCCTGAGGAGTCATTGGGAGGTCACAGGCTGCACCCCCCCCCCCTGCTTTGTACTCCCTTTGATGACAGTTGAGACACTGTTCCAGTCACTGGCTCTATGCATATCATTAGTCTAAGACACAACACTCAGCTTCCTCCTCCTCCAGCTGCCTTCGTGCAAAAAGTTCCTCTCAGTCTCCAATCCATCCTGCTCACAGAGAAATCTCACCCTCACTTCTGCTTCTGGTTTAAGGGCACTATGTATGACATCTCAGTCCAGCAAGGTCCCAGGCAGCCACCACAGAGCGTAGGTTCTGGTTCAGTGGTGGCTGTCAAAGTATTTTCTCATCCATTACAGCTACAGGTAGCAAACAGCTTACAGTGCTCTGTATAGGGTTTGCACAGTGTAATGTCCTGTCTTCTTTTACGTCTTTTGGAAAATTAAATTTCCCTGAGGCTGGCACATTCGTTGTCCTTTTGAGAACATGTGATTTTGTGGGCCAACAGGAGGCAGACTGCTTTCATCAACAGGCACCCCTGTCCATATAGTCTGTAAGAGACAAGCAGCTGTTGGCAAGTGGAAACTTGCCATACCTAAGAAGCTGAAGCTGACTGAGGTATTGCCAATGCATTCCCCTACCTACCTTGAGTAGGGTCTATATCCTGGAAGGGCAGGCCAAAAGATATTATTACATCCTGTAACTCAAATGTCATCTTCCTGCTTGCAAACCTATGCTGCCTTCAAGGATGGATTTATCTGTAAATTTATCTGCCATCATCTGCCTTAGAAGTTTCTACACAAATGTCCTGCCTTCTTTTGGTAAATTAACTCCTTATACTTTGATGTATTGTAAATGCTATCTTTTAAAAAGCCTACACCTCAGTTTTTGTTTTGTTTTGCTAAAGGTAGAAACATGACTAAACTCTCTTGCTAATTATAAAAATCTGGGAACTCTTTTGAGTTTTCCAAGTATACAACACACAAACTGATTAAAGATCAAAACGAAAACTTTTCTTTCCAACACTTTGAGCTTGCGGTTTTTATTTACTTTGCCTAATTTCACACGTGGGTTCCCAGTACAAGAAGGACTTGTTTTAGCTCCTAAACACGTTTTCAGCCTTCACCGTAGAAAGTGAAGGCACTTCCTTCCTCTACTTAGTATTGTTTGTACTTTTCTAAACCAACCAGGCAGCTCCTAAAATCTGAATGTTTCATGAGGACGGGGACCGGCTGTTTTTCTCACTGGGGAAGGACAGAACCCCCACCCCATGCTCTGAGCCCATTCCTGTGCCTTAAGCACACCTGCATCCCACCCTTCATGCCCACCCCTTTCTTGGCATATCCAACTCTACCATTCTGTGCAGATTCTCTGCCACACTCACTTCCTCACAGGTCTGTCTTCTACTCTTCTTTGTCAGGTGAGGCCTAAAGCAGTCGTACACCTGGCAGAAGCTCTCCCCAGTGTTTCATGTGAACTCTCAGGGGTTAGGCATCAGCAGGGTCTTACTCAACCTCTGAACCCAGCCCCAAAGTTGCACTGGGACTGCTCAGTCCTCACTGAAGGGCTGTCCAGCTGCCCTCACTTACTCACCTGCGTGGCCATTCCTCAGGTGCTCTCTCCCCTCAGCCTCCTTCCCATCCAAGACCCATGGCGCTTCCCCTCTCTCTAGCTGGGAGATCACATCAGGCTTGGATCCTGGGAGTCCTGCTCATGGGAGGAAGTTCTGTTTACATGGCTCCCTCCTGCCCTGTGCCCCATGCTGCCTCTGGGGGCATGGCGAGACACATGACAAGCTCTGCACAGGGTGGAGCGCGTGGGAAGGACACTGGGAGCTCAAGGCCATGGTTCAGCCTAGTCCAAGCTCCCACCCTCCCTGGGGAGCCCCCACAAGACAAGGCTGGTATGAAGGGAAGCCTGACTCATGCTAGCTTCAGGGGCCTTACCCAGAGAGACCACATTCCCGTAGGTCTCCATCATCACGTTTCGGTAGAGACCACGCTGTGCAGGGCCCAGGCGGTCCCACTCCTCCTGGGAGAGCAGCACAGCTACATCCTCAAAGGTGACGGCGGCCTGAAATGACAGCTGTATGGGATAGGACCACGTCTGGACATCCACGCCAGGGGGTAGGTGCAAATGGATGGAGAGGGTTATAAGCCAACTTGGGGTCCTGAGAGCCAAGAGTGGAATGATGGGAAGGCCCTAGGGTGTGCCATCGGACCCCAAGCCTGAGAGAAGCGGGGAATCTGCTGGCTGCACAACCTTGGAAAAAGCTCACCTGGGGTCTTGCCATGGGCAGGGGTCCCGCCGCTGCCATCGCCTGCACTCCTGGAGCTTCTGAGGACAGACAGAAATCCACGTGGTGCTGAGGGAGAGGAGGTAACACGTAAGGGTCCAGCCTGGGAGACCTCAGGAGCGTCCTGGTGTCCTTGGGCAAAGTCAGCAAAGGAGGCCTTCCCGTTCAGGAAGGACGTCCAGCTATCTGGAGACGTGACCTTGCTACACTTTGGGAGCCCAGGACTCGAGGTGACCTGATTACACCCACATGGACCACCGGCCTACCCAGCTCACCAGGGACATCCCTCCTGGAACCTTCAGTCATTATCAGTGTCCCACCTCACAGTCTTGGCGGTACGGCCAGCCCGCCTGCCCAGCACGTCCTGTATGGCTGTGCTGTATATACAAACAAGGCTAACTTCTGAAGTATAGGTGCCATTTAATGCAAGACCTTCACTGATTTTAACTAACTTAATTACCTGAGTTTGGGGCACACTTGGCTCTTCTCTACGTGCACATAGAACTTCCTAAACGAAATGCTGTAAAATGAGGGAAATATGACAAGCCTCCACAAAATGATGCAGAAGAGGCTAACACCATGTAATACATTTTAAATCAAGTTCAAGGATGGGCATCACTAACTCAGGACGATAAAAGGAGGGGGTCCCCACAAGGGGCTGGAGACATCTGTCTCTTGACTTGGGAGCTGGTCTTGGGTAAAACCCTACAACAAAAGTTCCTGGTGTGAAATTCATGGGGAACAAAAGGTAACAGTGGTCAGACACTATGCAGAGCCTGAATTCCGAGACCCAGCTGACCTATCCTGTAGGTAGGGCACTCTGACAACCCTGCTGACCCCACTGCAAAGAAGGCAAAAGATGGTTGTGGCAGCTTGACAAGACGATGGCAGTGGATGTGAAGAACTGATTGGGTTCTGGGATCACAGGACTTGCTGAGGGATTGGACATGGGGTGAGAGAGAAAGGAAGTGTAAAGTGACCTGGGACCCGGGTGAGCCTAAACAACTTTAACAGGGATCTGCTCTCCAGTGAGATGGAGACATCATGCATGTTTAGGTTCTGGACAAGTTAAGTTGAGGCATCGCTCATACTCCAAACTGCCGGGGTGGAGGTGAGAATACTGAGAGTCCCCCTGGAATCTTTGGTCCTGTGGGAAATATGTTTTGCAGTCTTCCGGAATGCTGGGGATGAATCTTTGGCAGGGACACAGAACACTAGGTGGTGACAAAAGGAATGAAATCACCCAATCCGGCATAACAATTTGATTACGTCTCATATTTGACATGGAATGGAACTATGACGCTAATGAACACAGAACAGTGAGTTAACAGGAAACTGTGATAGGACTAGAGCAACAGAATCGCTTCAACAGACACAGTAAGTGTGAGTGGGCGGACACGCATGGGTGCTCCAGGAGCGGCCTGGGCAGGACGCATTACCATCAGCTGGATGCTTACATTTCCAGGCACCACTTTCGGACAGATCGGAGGAGCGGGACAGGGACACCTGGGGGCGGAGAGAGACCGAGTCGAGTCTCAGCCTCCTGGTCCCTTCCATTCTCCCAGAATGCCAGTTCTCCCCAAATTTGCATGTATGTGTTCTTGTAAGTGCAATTATAACTAGAATTCTAACAGGCATCTCTTAAGGAATGGACAAGACCATCTTACAATTCATTGGAAAAACGAATGCTGGAGAATAGTCAAGAGTGGAATGGGGTAGAGCTGCTTTACCAGGACTCATAGAGATGCTGTCCACAGGGGGAAAGAGAAAGACGCCTGCAGCAGAACCGAGAAGCCAGCCACAATTCCAGTAGGTGTGAGACTTTAAAAGATGACAGGACAACTTCCAGTTTCGTGGGAAACAATGGTGCTGGTGTAGGCAGCTGCTCAGATGGGATACACAGTGATACATTTTGGATTAAGTAAAGACTTCAGTGTGAGCAGGAAGAGTAGTCCTCACAGCTCAGCTTGTGTGTTGGGCTCCTGGTCACCGTGTTCCACTCCTTTACAGGTGGACCCTGCCCCGCTTCTGTAGGGACACCTTTCTTGCTTCAGTCACCCTCCCTTTTGTGGTCCATGACCACCATCATGAACCTGCCACCTCTCTCCTCTTTAGATCATTCTCGGTTGTGGTATGTTCTTCTCCAGCTAAACCCTCGTGAGAACAGACTTTCTTCCCTTTCCAGGAAGAGTGTAGTCTATGTGGGATGTCAGCCTATCCCTCACCCCACTGCCAAAGCGCCTTGGTCAGGATCTCCCGTGACCTTCCAGGGCCAAATGTCACAGTCTATCTTTAGTCCTTGTCTACTACCTCCTCTTCTAGGGCTCCTGGTCACAGCATTCACTGGGCTCGTCTGGCTTTTACAGGTTTCTTCTTGGCACACATCCTCTACCTGACCCTCCCCTGACAACCGTAGTGGGGTGGTCCCTCTGGTTCCCTAGTAGAGGTGACAGTCATTTGCGCTATGAGATTATGACCCTGACCGTACCTAGTCTAAGATACAACAATACATACACCCACAGGAACCCCGGGTCAGGGCCTTCCCAAGGCAGTGTCCACAGGGCTGGGCCCACTGAACAGCCGGGATTCACGTGGTCATGCAGGGTTATGGCCTCCTCTTCATTCCATATTCCTGTTCTTGAGTTATTCCTGTGTGGCTTGGATCATGATGTCCATTGGCTGGGGCATCCTATCCCGTATCTTTCTCAGCTGTCCTGGTGCCAGATATGGTCATCAAGTCTGAATGTTCAGTTGAGCCCTAAAGATCCCTATCTGGGTGCTACAGAATTGGTGATCCCCCTTGCTTTCTAGTCAGCATCTCCATGTGGATGTCTCGTAAATCTCAGACATTTAACATCCAAAACTGAGGCCCACCCACCGTTTCTGCTCCCAACGTGTTTAGCAGAAACTCTGCTCACCTGCAGTAGCATCCCAGAGCCCAAACCTTGCCATGTGCTGAGCAATGACCCCTGACCCCAACCTGCTCATCAGTCATGGTCACTATAGCACAAAGAAGTCATTCTTCAGATTCAAGAATTTTGTTTTTGGAAATTTCCACAGAAAACAACCCAAATCCAAATCAAGAATCGACAAATTTTCACAGCATTAGTAGTCACTGTAAAGAAAACAGAAAGGACTCTCATTGCCAGACAGGTGGCTGACACCTGGAGCTGACTCTTGTGACCACACATGTGAGGGGCCATCTGTCAACAGGCACACATGGGCAGGAATTAGAAACGGACATGCAAGGATGCCAGTAGCTTAGAACTTAACATTTATTACATTCTGTTCTAAGTTAAAGTTTTGTTGTATAAGGGATCATCTTGGTATGACAGATAATCACGGCACATGGTAGTAGAGTGTGACAAGAGACCTCTAAGTCCCATCAGCCAGTCCCTGGGTCTCAGGTGGGCAGTTTGAAGGATCTCGCCCAGGGCCAGGCTCCAGACTCCAGTCTTCACTTGTCCTCATTTGTCGGGTTTTCCTGCTAGGGCCCTGCTTCCGCTTCATATCCATCCAAGCCCCACCCTTCAAGTGGAGGCACCTTCAGAAGAGGCACAAAACAGAGCTAAATGCAGCCACTCTAATCTTCCAGACAGAAACCTGTCTCCAAATCAATACTTTTCTATAATCAATAAGTCCTAGTCATAAAAGATAAAGGGAAAAAAATCCTAGCACAAAAGCAGCGAAAGGCAGTAAGCGCAGAAAAGTGCAGGGTCCTTATGAAGAACGTGATCAACCAGTCGGTTCTGACTCACAGTGACCCTGGATAGGGCTTCCCGAAGCAGTACATCTTTATGGGAGCAAAAAACGTTATCTTTGTCCCGCAGAGCTGCTGGTGGATTTGAACTACTGGCCTTACGGTTAGCAGTCCAACTTGTAACCCACTATATGACCATGGATCCTTTATAAAACTTAAAGGACAATAAAAACACTTGGAATGATACACTTGCCAAGATAAGGTATCAGTGATATTAATTCCACGTCACCTACAAGGTTAACATATCTTTAATTGACTCTTAACTGATCTGGGAGAATAAACACTACAGCATCTCAAGACTATGTAGCCAGAGACTAATGAGGTCTTCTACCACACAGATGCATCGATGAACACCTGTGGGTCTGGCCAGAGGACAGGACCAGAGCAAAGTCCCTGAAAACAGTCCGAGTGGGACACACATGGTTTTTCTAACTGCTGGGGAAAGATGATTCCATAGTAGTGTTCATGTCATGTGCTAGTTTGAGAAAAGTAAAATTAGGCCTTTACATGTTGTTGTTGTTAAGTTTTTAAGTGTCATCAAGTCAGTTATGACTCATAGTGACCCTGTATACAGTTTCCGAGGAGCAGCTGGTGGGTTTGAACTGCTGACCTTGTGGCTCACAGTCCAGTGCTGATCCTACAGCGCCACACCAGGAGTCCTTTACATAAAGCTTAACAAATCTTCCAGAAATAGAGCAAAGACAGAGATAAAAAATGTGGTTAAAACAAACAAACAAACCCAAAACAACCCTAGATCTTCATCTCTTACTACATATGAATGGACTTACAAGAGTTAAAAAAATTTAAATTACATCATAAAAAGAACATGGATAAAAAACACAAGTGAAATTTTAATACTGTTTTAGGGTGGGGAGGGGCTTCTAAACAAAATACCAAAGAAAGAAAGCTTAGAGGCCAAAAGCAACAGATGGGCAGCCATGTAAATAAAGCTCACGCACAAACTCCAGAACCAATCCAAAGACATGTAAGAATTTAATATATGACAAAAGTGGTAATTGATCTCCAGATCAATGGTAAGATGAATTATTCAGTAGACAGTGTTAGGAAAGCTAAGATTAGGGGAAAAAATAAAGCTGAATTTCAACCTCACCTCACACCAAAACAAATTCCAGATGAATCAAGTATTTTACAAGCACCTAAGAAAAACAAAGTTTATCTTAAAAACAATCTTGGAGTGGAAAGGCCCTTTAAAAACAGCAAAGCCCAAAAGCCTTAAGGGAAAATGCTTAATAATCAAAAT